TCCTCACGTCAGCGCTACGAAAGCTGAGAGTTCGACAATCACCAAAAGGCGTCTAACTCCAGAAACACCCGAGCTGATACGTCCACGTGGAATTGCGCAAGCCGCAGGCAACTTCGAACTAACGTCCGAACTTGCAAAACAGTGCAGACAGGCGATAAAAAAAGATCTTAAAAACAGGAGAAAATCAGTAATGATCAAATCTGTAGAGACTGGGAAAAGCATTCGCTAAGCTCACCCAAGCCTCGCCAATTGCATGACCAAGATGACTGCACTCCGACGCCCTTACGGAACAATTACAGCGTTCAGAAAGGCAATGGAGAAAATCATTTACGAATACTACTCGGATGTCTTCGATAGCCACGTCCACCTTCCGTCATATGAAATAAAGGAGGATGGATATGTTGTACAATCGGTTCTCCCTTCCGAAATCTGTCATACCATTTCGTCGGTGAAAGTCGAACAGCACCAGGTGCGGACATGATAAGATCAGAGCACCTGAAAAACTGAAGAACCTTCCTCCAGTTCTCGTAAACACACTGGGTCGGCTGTTCACACTCTACTTGCCTGAATGCAAGGTCCCCTACTCAGTGGAAAACTAGCAAGACCGTGCTATTGTTTGAGAAGGTGACTTACACGATATCGGCAATGCTGTCAGTTCTTTACAAACTTTTCACCCGTGTCAGCATAAGCAGGATTGATAGAGCACTGAACGAAGGACAGCCATGTGAGCAAGCAGGGTTTCGAGAAGGATTTAGTACGGTGGATCACATCCACACGATAACAACGCTCACTGAAGTATTGCGAGAGTGCAGAAGACCGGTCTGTCTCACCTTCATCGATCTAAAGAAGGTTTTTGACTCAAATGAGACAGAGCCAGTCATTGAAGCTCTTGATGGTCAAGGAGTCCCTACTCAGTACATAATGATTCTTCGTGAGCTGTGCAAAAAATGTACGGCCAACATATCACCATTCTAGAGCGACATTATCATTGATGTCAAAACCTTTACACTCGAGTCATCCTAAGTTAGCAAGACGACAACATCTTGCCAAAATTACTTACCGCCACCCTCCAGAACGACATGCGAACATTGAAATGGAATAATAAGGGAGTGAAAATCGATAATCGCAGTTACACCATCTTCGCTCTGCTGATGACATCGTCATTATAACACCAAACATTAGCCAAGCGGAACGTATACTTGACGACTTTGATAGAGTCTTTGAAAAGGTTGGTCTGCGACTAAACCTCACAAAAACGATGTTCATGAGGAACGGATTGGTTTCATATGCTCCATTCACGCTCAACGGAACAAATATCTCCGAATGGTCCAGTTATGTCTATCTAGGTCGGAAAACTTGTTGAACGGCCTAGTTCCAGAGTTGAGCAGAAGGAGACGAGCGGCTTGGGGAGCTTTCAAGAGCATCGAGAATGTAGTGAAGGGAACATGGAACACCCGACGCCGTGCTCACCTTTTCGACTGAACGCTACTTTCTGCCCTAACGTATGCGTCAGAAACTTGGTCACTACGTAAACAGGATAAAAATTCAGCCAGCGTTATTGAAGGCGCAGTCGAAAGGACGATGCTAGGGGTATTTCCTTTCACACAGGTAAGGGAAGGAATCCGAAGGTCCGACGTGCGTCAACGATCGGAAATCAAAGATGCCGCTCTGTACGCCAAACAGTCGAAGATAAAGTAGGCCGGACACGTAATGCGTGTTAATGACAACCGATGGACAAAAGCCGTTAGTGACTGGATTTCTTGGGATGTTAAACGCACTGCAGAAAAACCGCCGACTCGATGGTCAAAGCTCTTCACGAAAAGCCTAGAAGAAAGATATGATGCTCGAAGAGTCCCTAGAGCGAGCATAACCTACTGGGCTAACCTCTTGCACTCGACAGAGGAAAATGGAAGATTTACTGGCGCCCGCTCGAGTCACTCGACGATCAACGGGACTACAGGTGGTACAGGTGATACAGCTCGGACATCTTTATTGACCTGTAAATTGACCAATAATTTGCTGTTATTTTATTATAATCGTTGTGATAAATCGTTGCTATTGTATGGAATGTGTGGTTATAAAAAATGCCGAGATAGGTGCAGCATAGGCTGGGAAACTCTTCCTTATGCTGAAGCAATGAGTTTACATGATTTTCCATAGTAAAAGATAGTAACCTCCCAACCGTAACCTCCCATAAAATCAATTTATGTAGCTCGTAATGCGATGAGCAAACATATTTCAGCTCACAACAAACATTATCATTTTAGGTACACCACACTGACTTGTACCTACTGTGTACACTTAATTTTTTATTACGTATACGGGTGACCCTGCGCTTGTTTGCACACGGATTTTATCCTGTACATAGATCACTCCAAAACTGAAATCAAGCGGCTGAAAGGCAGGAAAGTAGACCTGGGGTCACCAAACGCAAATAATCCACACGTCTGCTCCACGAGAGACCAACAAACTACACTCCAATATACTTAGACAACAATGTGCATGAGTGCGATCTCATAAAAGACGGTAAGAAAAAGCTCTCGGCGTTGATCAATCCCTGAAGGATGCGCCATGCATTCGATTTCACTAAGCATCATTGGAGGTGAATGAATACACATCTGGAGTTGACAATGACTCGTGGTGGCCTACCGATGTATCGAACCAGTGCTGCTAACCTCTCAGACAAGTTTGGTACCAATTTACCGCCCTCGGTGGGATGGAAGGCTTGGTGGGCCATGGGCGTGAGGATCGATTCCTCGTGTGTTTTGCAGGGCGCCTCCACCCACTGCGCCGCAAGCGCCCTTATCAAAGACAGTTAGATAAACAATCTGTTACAAAAAATATAATGATTTCCGTGTTCATCGAGCGAGCAGAGCTCGATTTGCGGCTGTGGTGTACAATAGAAATAAATGCAAACATTAGTAATTCAGATGGCAATTTGCCGAGTTTCAGAACCTACATAGGACTGACCAATAAATACCGCACAATACAACGTTACTTTAGTAAAAACAGAATTTCCCAGGACCGACAACATGGAAAAGTGATAGTTGTTTCTAGTTAATCAAACACTGAAAAGCAAGGTGTAAGTGAACTAGAAAAAATGACCACTTAGTTTTCCGCAGGGTAACAAAATGCAGAGGGTGGTAGAGGATGGGGCATGACAAAATGAGCAGTTGTTTGAGGACTACCAGCTTTCTACCGTGTACTTTTTCGAATGCAGTTGTTTACGGCTGAGAATACTCTCGTTTTTGGTCTCCTATAAGGCTAACCACTAAAGTAATTAGCCTGATTTGGAACAGTATGAACAGGACAGTATAAATATGTTTAGAAAATAGAGAAAAAAAGTGGTAAGGACGATATGTCGGGGATTGGTGGGAATACACAGAATAGTTGAACATCATACCACCAACCGCTGTTACAAAGATAATAATGAAGAACTATGTGGAAAAAATTATCAACGATGTTTAGAAGCAGTTTCTTACCACTGAGAGATAGCAAATGTTTTCGTAGGGTATGTCTTTAAAAAGGGACGATAAATCGAAAGTTGCGTGTACTGGACGAATTATGAAGGTACGGCAAGAGAAAATTTTACAAGAACAGCGTTAAGGTCTGCTATTGAGTTTTGAGCTGAGATTGAGCATAAGTTATATTACTGAGCTTTGAGATTTTCTGGGAACAGCCATTATTAGTTCACCTGTTTTTTTGCGTCAAAGCTTGAATTTCGAATATCGAAGTAATTGAACGATTGGTCAAAAACACGAAGACTAGCAGGAGTGCACTAAAGGCTTTGGAGTTCCAGATCTTTATCCATCTTGTTCGAAAATCGGATATTATGGCGTGATCTTGGGGAACATGGTAAATTCTCCGAGTGCTCTTTCGTTGTTCTAGTGTCCGACTATTGCCTTGTGTTTAATTTTTTTTAACTGAAAATTTAGTTTACTGTTATTTTGTTAAGCTCAAATTTTCAGGTTTAAAATAAAAGTTGTGGTTTCAATCAGATACTTCCGTAGACTTACATCCTATCATTCTATGGATTCCTAGTCCTCAGATATTCTGGTTATCGAAAATCTCCAGTTGTTGAGAATGTATTAAACAATACTTAAATACTTTCGAGATCAACACCAAAAATAAAGTTGTGCATTGAGTTTTTTTGACTCTTTTTTTGAGCTTTAAACATTAAACCAGCTAACCTGTATTGATCTCTAAGAAATAGATGATTCACCTTCATCGTTTTTGAGGCCATATTTAAACAATTCACCACTGAATATAAAGCCATTTCAATATATAGAAGGTTTCCTTTCATTGAGTGAAATACCGCTCGAATTATGCTGTAGATACAGGGAGCGAAATCTTTCTCGACCTAAATGACAACAAATTTATGTGCACCTGGCCAAATGTGTGAGAGTTGAGAGTTACAGATTTCAGGTGGAGCGTATAGTTCAGTCTTTAGAGGTACCGCTCAATACATGCATTGTCGTTGGTTTGATCTTACGCTCAGGGCTCACCAAGCCTTCTGTCCCTCCGTGGTTGGCAAATGACTACCAAATTTATCTGGGAGGATAGAAATACTGACGTGATACATATTGCTTGGCACCTTCACGATGCAAACCAACATCGCGCATTAGCTTTCTAAACTTTAGGATTATAGATGAATCGAGGACTGAAAATCACTATAGAAACAATATTTAACAATGAGGTGCAATGTCTTAAACTTTAGAAGAAAAATGCAGCTTGTTAGCCTTTACTCTATTCAAATTTTATTGCGTAGCCTTTCTGTTGTTGTTATGGAGTAAGCCGTATCCGAAAAGATTTAGTTATTCTTTTGCAACCATCACATATTCTTTTTGCGCTTCTATTCATTCTTGTAGAGATTCCAAGAAATATTTTTGAACAATCGTGAAATGGTTTGCTAAATTATCTTTTCATTACCTTTATTCACGAAGTTTCTTGTTTTCGTTTCCATGAGGTTTTGTCATGAACTTCATTCTGTCTAAAAATTTTCATCGACTTGCCTGTGCGGTCACGGTAAAAAACCAGTGATTTGCTTTACTGTCCAGAAACTTGAAAGCGTTTAGCTGCAGATTATCCAACGAAAACGGTAGAGAAGGATCGATGAGATTCCAATTTGCTAGACAGGCTGAAGCATGACATATAACTGGTCGCAAGCCGAGTCTTTCAGATACGGCGACCAATGGAGTGCATATATTCCTTGGCAGGGCCAACGGTGCCTGAAATTCAATGATTCGTGTCGAAAGCACTGAAATGTTCCAAATAGAAATCAATTTTTGCAGATCAACCGTTATAAGGAATTATGGGTGCCATAATTTCCCCTATTCACCCAAAGTCCAGTACAGTTCAACTTCGGAAATATACTGGACTGTTCCCTTTATCTGGTGAATTGTTCAGTAACTAGTTTCACAATTTTACAAGCGGTTGACCGATGTGGCACAAATGTCGTACGCATTAGATCACCTGATCCAGTAAATGCAGTGATTTGTGATGGAAATCTGTGTAATTGTAAAGAGAATGAACTTTCGTCTGGGATTTCACTATACTCAGTAATCCTAGGTCATGTTTCTGTGACAAATATGTCATTCAGTTCTAATGACAATGTTCTATGAGCGTAACTGCGAATACTAAACGAATGAGAAGCACGTTCTATTGGGTAAACACAGGATAGTAAAAGTCCTTTTAAAAACCTAAAAGAACAAGAAAGAAGACAAAGAACTTTTAATGCAAAAGACATTTTTAAAAAAAGTAATCACTTCAAGTGGATCCCCACTCCAGATGTACCCAGATGTTATCGTAACCAGTAAAAGGTGTGCTGTTCTCCAATCTTCATTGGTTATGAGGTTATCTGTTGCAAGTTCTGGTAGACTGCGCACAGCATCTCGAACTCGATTTTCCTTTATGAGTTGAATCATGTTATCTAAACGAGATCAAGAGATTTTCTTCATAATACTTTAGTCTTGATGGGTGTAGCACCGTGGCTAGAGATACCTCGCGACACACACGTGGCAATTGGTTCGATTCGCGCCCCAAGCAAATCAAACCCTCCATTCTTCTCAGGTCGACAAAATGGTGCCAGACTTGTGTCGAGAGTAAAAACAAGGACTTGACATACCAGTGGGCACAATTTAATGACTGCTTAGGGCAAATATGCATTCAATCACTTCAACAATGTGTTTCAGCAATCGAATGCATGGCGCATCCTTAAGGGCCCGATTTACGCTGAACACTTTATCCCTTATCCTTTATTTCCAAGTGAAAATGCTTTTTATACTTGCTTTGCTGCCATAAAGATCAAAATGGAGTCATAATAAAAAATTCTAACTGCATATGACTTTCATAAATATGTAGGGCCAGCAAACATGTTTTAGGTCCCAGGATCGACTTTCTATTACCCTCGACATTTCTATTAACTTCGGCACATAAATTCGTCGTTTTCTCTCTCAGCAATAGCATGGTTGTTAAACAGCATGCGTTTACTTCCATACAGTAACACACATACAACACAATCGTAGCTGACGTTTCGGCAGAATCGTCTTCTTCAGAGCCTGGAAGGGTACACTATTACGCAACTTACTAGGTCAAACGCCTCAACAGCACAAACAGAAAGTTGAACACACAGTCAGAGTATATTAACTTCACCCGAGAGAAACGAAAAGAAGACTGGCTTCCATTTCTGAACGTGCAAATTAGCCTATCAGAAAACGGCTACATTATGAAGTGGTATCGAAAGCCAAGTAGTAAAAACATCCTAGTTCATTACCTCTCCTCTCATCCCTCTCACACGAAAAGGGCGCTTGTGAGAAACATGTATCGAACGGCTACCAGCGTGTGCACAGGGAGACAACAGAGAGAGGAGTCTCGGAACTTGGCACGGCAAATAGCCATTTTTAATGGCTACGAAACCGTAGCTCCAGATAGGTGTAGAGGAAACCACAGGTACCCCAACGGTAACTCTAGCGACAACAAGGTCTCGTTTATACTGCCCTTCATTTCAAATGAAGTAAGTGCAGCTATAAAACTCTGTTTAAGAAAGGCCAGTCTAGAGAATTCGGTAACGATAATCGAAATACCATCGAGTATTCTAAGGCGCCAGCTAGTTCGTAACCGCCTATACGACCGTCTGTGTGCAACGCAAAATTGCATAATTTGCCCCAAGGGTAGAGACGGTGACTGCATGAGTTTGGGTACAGTCTATCTGATCTCTTGCAAAGCGTGCGGGGACGAATGCGTTGGCGAAACGGGTAGACCACTCTACGTACGTATAAAAGAACACCTAGTCGGCCAACGTAAGTCAAGTTCTCCAATAGGTACGCATAGCACGCAGAAGCATAACGGAGAAGATTTTGAAGTAAGGGTTACGATCCTCGCTCAAGAATCGAAAACACAAGCGCGCAAGGCATTCTGGATTAATTCCAAGAATCCGAAAACGAACCGCAGGGAGGAATGCCTCGTTATCACGCGTGATATTGGACAGTATATAAACCTGTTATTCTGATGGGAGGGGCACATTACGCTTCCATGTGAATTCTGTGCGGTCGGTCTTCACGCGACATGCTCAGTGTTTTATATATCTCATAGAAAGCGGTGAGTGCGCAAAGTTATGCTAAATGTGATTGAAATCTTGGTTTAGCGTTTTCTCTGTTTGGTTATGGAGGTGTTTGGCCGAGTGGATTGCTGTCAACTTGACCCTTCCAGGCTCTGAGGAAGGCGAAATCCGCCGAAACGTCAGCTTGTGCGTAAATAATGAAATAAAATAGCACCTCCTGTTTGCTGAACAGAAGTAGAAAGAAAGATAAAAATCTGAACGATAATTACAACATCTACGGCTTCTCGAAACATGTTTTAGTTGGCAAGATGACTAATGCTCAGTTCGCTGTTTTCTTTTCGTAGCAGACCTTTCTGTCTATACAATAATGCCCAACGTCCCGAGAAAGCATTTGGCGCTGATCAATCTCTGAGGAATATGCTGTGTAAACGATTTCTTTGAACATCATAGAAGTGATCGAATGCAATTTGCCCTGAACTATTTTTCTGAAACTAGTGATGCATTAAGTCCGCACTTTTGAAGTTCCAGACACGTTTGTTACGAATTTGTTGATTCCGTGGGATGGAAGGACTGCTGACACGGGAACGAACCAGACAGCCACCGATCAAATGTGTATTGCAACCCACCTCAAACCACTAGCGCTCCATATGCGCTCGCGAAAAACACATTTTGTTAAAAGTGATACTATTTAACTCGAATTTCAAATAATCCTACAACTGGATAGAAATCGAAGGACGAGTGACTTCTGAGCACTCCGCATTTACCGTCAATGATTTCAATTCTATACTTGAATAAGAAATTGAAGAGAACAAACCACATGTATCAATCCATGGCCGATAGAATTCGGGCAACCTCGCGAGATCACATCGTGTAAGAAATCCGAATTCTTTACAAACTCCGAATTGTGCCAGGACTTCACCAATTTTGTCAACAGTCATTTGGCAAAGCAATCTGGAAACACTGTAAACTGATATTAGGCAGAGCAATAACAAAGGAGCACAGGGGAGGATCGAACTGAACCGCTGATCAATGAGGAAATACGACGACGCGTTCACGGTTGCGAAGACGCACTGACACTAATCACTCGTCCCGAATCAGTTCTAACAAAGCCACTATAAACGTGGTAAGAAATTCAAAACGAGGCCTATTTATATTACGTAGTCTCATGCCTTAGTTGAATGCCAAATCTCACCAGTGTGTGCCATGTGCTTTTTGAATAACTGTCAATGTTATAAAGGTGTACTACAGTAGATACTCTTAGATAGTTCCAGATTTTCTGCTCAAAAGCAGAAAATAGCTCATTTTTTCGAGTAGCCGCAAAGCTTCTGCTTTTTATTAAGCTCATAGGGCTTAGCGTTAAACTTCTTTGCACTGTTATTCTTTTGCTTTTGAGAAGAAAGGGTTTTTGGGGTGGTTTGGATTAAGTAGTCCCACAAAAAGATCACTGCCAACAAATGCTGCTGATCGATGGACGTAGCTAATGGCCGCGAATTATACATGTTCTATTTCCATTTGGAAAAAGTAATCCGCCACGAAAAGCCTTCTACTTGTAAAATCATTCTTGGAGACTTTAATCTATAGGTCAGCAAAAATAAACATGAGGCAAGGAAATTTTAGCTATGACCGCAAAACCAGAGTTCTAAGCGTCTAGGTCTACTGTACGCAGCAACCATTTTCCACAAAGAATTATTTTTCCAGAGGAAAACGACTCACGTGGACTTGGACAGTTTCCTGACAAAGAGAACGTAGTGGCTGCACGATATTTCTTTACTTTCATTACTCCGTATTAGATCTAATCATGTCGTCTTCGCGCGAAGCATAAATTCAGCCGTAAGTTGGAAAGGAAGTGTTATTATGGCAAGACAAAAACAAGGCATGGCGTATCTGACTGAAACATCCTGAAAAGAAGCCCTTTCCTCAAATGCATGGCAGATCAAGGATGACTGGAGACCAAGCACTATGAGTCGAAGGACTTAAAAATTAGGTCGAAAACGTCTCATCTCCTCAAACAAGTTCATTTCGCATCTATTCTGCCAACAACGTGATGGAGAAGGGAGGAAAATTGAGAGTTACCCTATTCCAACGCAACTGACATGGCTTATAACGAATGTTAGCTGTAGAAGGCCTTTGTTGGAAAACTAACATTGGCAGAGGATGGAAAAACTGCTGGAATCAGGTCAAGAAAGAACCAGTCCGAAGAAAAATGAGAACACTTTTTCTTGAGCTCACATCGACCTGAAAGCGGACCTGTTTTACATATAAATCGAGCTGAATGACTACATTCTCCGTGTAACAAAGAAGTGCTGCGAATATGGGAAATATCATATCAATATAATTATGGGGCATTGCCATCATCATGACCTCTCAGAGAGGCCACCGATCATGTGCACTCCAATTCCGTACCCACCTTTTTGTCTCAACGCGATCCTCTCAGCGCTCTGCTATGCAGCATGAATGGCAATAAAAAATTTCATGAAAATTTCATGAATGACACAACGCTTAAATAATGTCTTTCGAAATATCATAAACCCATCCTTCATATAACATGAGCCAGGACTACGATAATCAACGAAAAATTTCTCGCCTTCGTAACGAAATCAAAACAGATAATTCAATCACGTAGATTAAAATGCATGACTGATGGAAGAAAATATCAGTTGAGTGGAGTTCAAGAAAATTTAAGCGTCTCGTCTTTAAGCGGACGGACGGCGAACTACAGATGAATGTTTCTGGCTAAATATATCAGCTGTATTCACAGGTGCAAATGTCTCATAAATCATAGAGAATACCCGCAGACATAATTACACTGGAAGCAAGCCATCACCGCAGAGTGAGATGGCTGTGTATAGAAAGGAATGGTAAATATACCAGAGCTCGCACTAATGGCGAGTCGCTCTGCTGTCCAACTACATAGTACTGCACTGGTTCGATATAAATACGATAACGCTAATCAATGAGCGTTTCTGTGTTCTCAAAGTGCAAAGTGAATGCAATCTCTTTACTTCATCTGTAAAATTGGCAAGGCATATTTTTAATTCATCAACGGCACCAGTAACAACATTAACACGCATATCCAAAAGTTCTATGTCACACATAAATCCTGCTTTTGAAACTATAAGAATTCGCTAGATAGCGATGTGATTGTTCATTGATAAACAGCCGACCATGTCAAGGCTTTTACCTTTTCTCCAGCTTTACCATCACTTCTTTCGGCCATACCGTACCGGTATCTCTCAGTGTCATTGTCAGCTGAAAAAAAGGCTGCTTTATAAAGGTCAAGAAAAATCTGCGTAAAGATTACTACCAATATTCCTCACAGAAGAGTCTACAATGGAAAAAGATAAGAGATTTCGAGATTGATTTCAGGCTGAGATTTCATTGAAGAGGTATGGACAGCATCTTTGCCAATCTACTTATGTTCACTTTTTTCTTCGATCCTCTCATAAATACTGTCTCCATGGAGATGGTCTTTAGAAAACATATGACATTGTTTAACGTAGCTTGGGCAAAAAATAATTCTAGTAGATGAAGTCTAAATGTTGACTAGAATGTTGAGATTGCAGTCGAAAACGAAACCTTAGGAAGCAGGTGTGGAAATGAGGGAAAAGACATCAATAAACTGGAGAAAAAATAGAAAAATAGGCAATGCGTCGCATATAGGGAAGTTAGTTGAAATCATTGAAGAATTTTTCGTTATTCAAGTTGTGCATTGAAATCCTTGTACGTGACGCAAGCATTCTCTTGTATAATAAATTTCGTCCTGAGGTCGGTTTCCACTTTTTCTAAACGACCCGTCTTTCACATGCACTGCGCGGATACCAGTAGTTCTTACCTTCCATCTGTTCTTCCGAGTCCGTTATCTCCAGAAGTCTTTCAGTTTTTTGCGTGTAGATTCGTCTGTAGCTTGAGGATTTTCTTTTTGCTATGAATGCCGCTGAAGGTTGGTCGAGTTGATTTTCCACGAAGTCCTGACATAATTATGGTAGAGCGTTCCCATTTAGATTGCAGAGAGTGAACTTTGCTCAGCCACGTCCGATACAAATTTCCCGATCCCGGAGGGATGAGAGCCCCAGTGGGCCAGAGGCGGGGTCGAGTGAACGAATCACCATCGCGCTCGTGATGATCGGTATCACTACTGCGCCATCCTATCCCTTGGTTTCCACTAACTAGGCAAGAATGGGATGATAGCAAAAATGGAAATGGAAATATGCTAAAAAAACAAGGTGGATAAAAGGTGGAAGGCGTAACATTTGTCGTCGCTTTTTTTCAGATGTTTTAAAGGAATAAGAGTGTAAAAAGAGTATATCCTATTATCATATTGTGTTGGGACAAGTACTTAACTCCAGCGATGAAGTGACAAGTGCCCACCTTTTTGTTTTGATCTTCTTTCCGCAGGCGATACTTCGATAAAATCATTGAAAGAGTAAGCTTCATTTCTAAGAGAGCAAAACGCATTCCAACGCATTGACGTGGACCCACTCCAAATGGCATAAAGGCATGAAGTTGTTCAATTGTTGGTGATTGAAAACTTAATATATCAGATTTAGCCTACACTTCTACGCTGGCACTATGAAAAGTAGACATATTTCTTCCAAGCTAACTAAATGTTATCAATGTAATAGTATGCTTAAACACATACCAGTAAATCCACATTGATCACTTTGGGTCTGAAGAACTTTCTCACTGCATGCTATGAGTTTTGATCAGAATTAATAGTGTTCTTTACTGACTTCCCAATGTTTCAATTCTTCATGAATCAATACTAATAGTGTGCTAACCGTTCGGGACGAAATTCCTCAACGTCATTTCCCCATATCTTGGGATTGTGATGCACTGTCCATGTATCAATCACAACACATACACCTTTTCGGAAGATGTAAGGCCCAATTTGGCAGTCTTCCATGCAAAGGCGGTGTTGAAGCCTGTAACGTTTTAGCATACTTTTATATTCATGGAAAAACACTGTATTTGAAAACGCTGGCGATACCGGTTAAGCGAATGAGGTTTAGTTCTTCTCAACGGTCTACGGTCTCATATTTGCTTTTGAGCGTAACTAAGTATAGAAGTGCTGTGCTGCACGACATTACTATGCCACGTTCGCCGCTTATAAAAGTGAATTTGACTTATTCAGGAAGAGGAAGCTATCTAGAAAGGCCTAATCGTCGCGGTCTTTATCACCTAGTTGGTAGATACGTTACAAGGCAATAAATCAAATTTGGATCACAAGGATGGCAGTAGATTGCACCAAAAGCTCGCCAACATGAAGAAGGACTATCGTGGTGTCTATGATTGTATGTAAGAACATACGGCGATGCATGTGGATATAGGCGCAGAGTTTCGAAAATGCATTTGTGAAGATACTCCATTGATTGAATGTTGTCATACGTGAATGAATCTATTGCGTCGATTTCTTGAATAAGCTGTTCCTAGAAATGTTCATTGGTATTATTTTGCTATTACGCCGATGTCATGGTCGATCATAACGCGAATTTTTCTACCTGTTCTGTGTTATGTCTGGCTAATAGGTCGCAAGCTAATGCTAGACTGTTGGCTGTAGTATCGAATCCAGCGATAGCAATAAAACGACATTGGGCGACTGTTTCCTGGAACGAGCATCCACCATAGGGACTTGCGTAATGATAATGATCTTCAGAAAGGTACGCGAGAAAACTCACACCAGGTGCCATGGACTTGTTGAACTGGACTGAACTAAAATCAATTTTTCCGTTGGCTTTTTCACTGAGAAAGCCATTAAATGATTTGTCTTCGGCATCTTTGAAGAATTGCAAAAAATCATAGTTCTCCTCTTGTGGACGCCGGCCAAATCGTAGTGTTGCCAAATGATTTGAGAATATCAACAGTGGTGGAGTTTCTCGCAATATACCTTCACAGATAATCCCGCAGACCTTTTTTAGTTGGCGAAAAAATCCAGCTAGTGATGGAAAGCACACTAAAAGAGCTTTTATTTTCTGGATTTCTTTATCGGTAACTTTTCTTGTGTAAGTGAAGGGTTTTCACCAGCGTTATATAAAGTGACTTGCTGAAATCTATAGCGTTGTGTACACAATTCGTGAAGATTTTGTCGGTGGAGAAAAGCTATGGCAACAGCAGTACAGGCTCAAGGATAATCTTGAAATTTACATATAATTGCTAACATGTAGTTTTCAACCGGTATTTTAACGAAACACTCTACAACAGAACCATTTTCGATTTTGCTTTGTACAGTACTAATGAGATAACAATTTCAATGGTAGAACGTGCATGAATGGGTTGTTAAAGTGAAGGTGATCCGTCTACTTTACGAATGGCTACTTTAGGAATAAAATGGAATGGAATAAAGGTCAATAAGTGATGAGAACTACTGTTCGTGCCCTCTCCAAACATTTCACCAGCAACTTTTTTCTCTAGATTTTAATGACAACTGATAGGACGTGCATTCAAAACAATGAAATTATTACTGGACACCTTACAGTTGCAGACATGCAGCAGAGCACAATAGTTGATTATAAAGTCCCAGGACCAGCTTTTTTTTCATTATTTGGTTATCTTAATTATTGGAAATGGAATATTTGATCACCACTCAAAGTGCGTAATAAAAATTTCAACTACTTCTTTAGTCTCCGATCCAACAATCGAAGACTTCTCTTCATCTATAGCTGGAATCTAGATGAGTTTCCATGCACGAAACTACATGACATTATTCGAGCGATCTCAGAGTAATTGGGCTCGTGTGGCGCAGTGGTAGGAGGCGCCCTCCGACACACACGTGGAATCACCGCGCCCATGTCCCACCAAGCCTTCCATCTCTCCGGGGTCGGAAAATTGATCCAGAAGGATAGCATCACTGGCTCGATACATCGGTAGAGCCACCACGAGTTATTGTAAAAGCCAGATATGCATTCAACATATCCAAACGATGCCTAATGAAGTCGAATGCATGGCGCATCCCTCAGGCATTGATCCATGCCGAGAGCTTTACCCTTTGTCTTCTCAGGGTAATGCGGCAGATTTATGACGTAGTTGAAACACTAACAAACTTTTCTACTGCATAATAGAGTGCTGGGACAACCATTAAATAGAAAGAGACTGACAGTAATTCGAATAGAATTGCAGATAATATTTAACAATAGCACCCCGTAGAATAAAAACATTCCACGCAATGATCTCAACTGAAGAAGTAGAAAATACTTAACGGTGACATAAACAATCTTTGCAGCGAGCAAGTGGTCAAAACGAAGCCATACTAGCTCGTGTTTATGATCAGGTGTTCCGAAAGAATGGAAGCAGTCTTCATGAGTAAAGGTGTAAATATGTAATATTACTCCCAGTGCCAGAGTTAAATCATAAGTTTATTTAACAAGACCAATAGAGGATTTAAACCACGTCACCTACGCACATATATTTCATTTTCCTCTTTACAAGAACGTTGCAAAAAATATATATTTCGAAAAAAAATAAAACGTACATGAGGCCGTATTCCAGAAGCAGGTTGAACTTCCAAATTCGTTTCCAAAAGCTTGAGAGAAAATTTTATGGTACAAATTATCATGATGGAACGACTGAGATTGACCAAATGCACAACGAGCCAAAACATCCGATGTATGGTTTTGAAACAGCCTAAATTAACCGGAATCAACGAGGATCTTAACAGTTTAAATTGAAAGAACGGAAGAAATACAGATCTCCCACATCTAAAGGATGTCGAGCTGACTAGAAAGAAGCGAGAATACGTGTATATAGTCAGACTAAATGGTGCAGCTGAAGTTAAACGCGGATGGAAACTGGACATATAATCAAACGACGACAAATTATCCAAAAACAACATGCACCCACACTCGTCACTATATGACTAGTGGTACTACAGGTAGTACAAGATGAAAATAGAAAACTCACACAGAGACTCACTTGTGAACCTCGACAGGCGCTTCAAGTGTAATACTTTTTAAAAGTGTCATAAAGCTGTTTACGGATTCCGCTATCATGGGGAAGATCTGAAATTTCGTTAATAAATGGTGCATTTGATGAATTTATGCAATTTGAATGTTGATATTCCTGAACACCTATGATCTGTTATTTCTCTACTGTCAAATTTTCATCGGCGTGGAATAGAATCTTCATCAAAAATATGACACAGGAAATTAATGCATATGCTAGCCTTCTTCATATTCTTGACGGACATTGCTTGACTAGTAATGTATCGCAACCGCTTCCATCGAACACCTCTGGATGCGAACATGTGCACGTTTTCATCCACTACTGGGTCTGGATCCAACGGTATTGGCTGAACGTAAAAACAAACTAGAAAACAAAAACAAAGTTCTCTAGGTCACTTGGGCCATCAAAAGGATGGTTGTTAATAGAAACAATAATCATTTTTAATACATAACTTGTTTGGATTACTGCCGTTTTAGGTAAGCTTAAGAACTAAAACGTTCAAATTACTAGTTCTCTTGCTCCCATAAAGCTCTCAGTAAGAGTTCAAACATAATATTATTATTCAGCTTGTGCACAGTTGTAAAGCCTAATACAACAAATATATTAATGTCCTACAATTTTCGCATGAAAGGAGCTGAAGTGCTTCTGCGAAATGTTTCGAATAACGTCGACGTCGCTAGTTACCACCGTCGGAAGTCCGCCTTGCATGACACCAAAAACGGGACCGTACTGTTTGGCAAGTTTGCCAAAAGTAAACGTGGCAGTTGGAGAGAGGAAGAGATCGATATTTTCAGTGATGAAATGTGATGAAGGAAGGATAGGGAAGCCACAGTTCATCAGACGACCATGATCACACCGGCGCCTGAAACATCGCCAAACGAGCACTGGAAGCTGGATGCAGTCAATATCCGTCTTTTCAAATTCATTTGTTTTTCAAACTATTCAAAATGGACATGCATAACAAAGAATGAACAGTAAAATTTTACCTGTATAAAAGGAACAATACGAAGCAGATGGCGACTATAAGTGATAATGTGAACATATTTCATTAGAAATTATGAGTAAAAGTTGTAAACTAGGACATGTGTTATACGATGAAGTGATGCAATAGCAGTGTAAATCAGTGATAAGTCTGCATTCGACGGTCAGTAAGCAGAGATAAACAACATATCAATTGTTCACAATGCGAACACAATAGTAGCAGCCACTCTCGGTAGAATGGTGTTGAAACTAATTAATACAAAGAGGAGTCTTTTCTATAAATTTACTAAAAAGGTCTATAAAACTAGGAACTGTTGAAACTAATGCAACGGGGGTGTTTTAAAGTGTATCGATTGGTGGCGAATTGGCTCTCTTTCACTATTCTCCATCCTGGGACACCAGGTAAGACACGACGATTTTGAATAAGATTTGAGTTGGCAATTCGGTTAGACATTTGCGAAGTCGATATATGAAAAAAGTCGGTGTTCATTCTAGAGATTCTAAAAATAGAATATCTCATCCAAACAGTAATCCAGGAATCCCATAAAGCCTTCCATGTTCGTGGCCGATGGATTTACGACAGTTAAGTAAATGCAGGAAGTGTTCTGTACCACAGGACATATGATCAAGAATTATACACTTAAAAATTAAAAGCTAGTCTTACTTTATTTTATCGTTTTTTGCCATTAGTGAATCTAGACGTTTTAAAAATTAAGACTTCAGCATTATTTCAATTCATACACTTAAAATTTTAGATACAATGTTACTGAGGTTGATGGGTGATTGTTGATGGCAAAAAGATCGATAGAACTAGCTGAGAAACAGGCAAGCCGAAGGACCCGGATGGTGTGGTGGTGAAGTGCGCTGCTCCCCGATAAGGACAACAGCGCGTGTTCGTTCCCCACCGCATACACCTGCGGTCCGGAGTTTTCCAATTATTTCAGCATCATATACGAGTTCTATGAACACAGTAAAACACTAGCACAAATTGTCATCGGTTAATTTTAACTAAACACTAACGCGTAGATCTTGTTGTGTCATATTAACTTCTTCATAAAATTTCTGCGTTTTTTTTTCACTGCATATAAAACATATCTCAAAGCTCAGTAATATAACTTATGCTCAATCTCAGCTCAAAACTCAATAGCAGACCTTAACGCTGTTCTTGTAAAATTTTCTCTTGCCGTACCTTCATAATTCGTCCAGTACACGCAACTTTCGATTTATCGTCCCTTTTTAAAGACATACCCTACGAAAACATTTGCTATCTCTCAGTGGTAAGAAACTGCTTCTAAACATCGTTGATAATTTTTTCCACATAGTTCTTCATTATTATCTTTGTAACAGCGGTTGGTGGTATGATGTTCAACTATTCTGTGTATTCCCACCAATCCCCGACATATCGTCCTTACCACTTTTTTTCTCTATTTTCTAAACATATTTATACTGTCCTGTTCATACTGTTCCAAATCAGGCTAATTACTTTAG